GGGAACGACATCCCGCACTAGTCTCCCGCCGAAAACATTTTTGGTTTCTTCCATTCTGGACCGTGATTTCACACTTTATTTTTTGTTTCTTCTCTGCAGCGAAACGTTGGGACTATGCAAGCACCACTCAGAGCGGTCAGTTCCATCTCGTCAGCAATCCGGTGTTTACATGAGGGTGGCTCTCTACCAGCGCAGCCATAGTGGGGAGGGGGAGCATCTTGTTGATACTCCAGTCGTTGAGTGTGGCTACAGCTAGTCTTATCTCTGGTGTTCTTTTCAGAGTTTTACAAAATATTGTACACTGACAGTGCCAAGGTACTGACGCTTGAAAGCTCCTGCGCGAAGTATGAGCGGTTTTCTCTAGTACAAGTTGTCGCTGGACGTAGGCAGCTACTGGAAGAGGGAAGAATAACCAAAGGATGCACGGCAATAGATATAACGGATAAAGTGAAGAGTTTTTTGCCTGAAGTATTTATAATTGGAGACGTGCAAACGTATTCAGTTTCTCTCGTAGGGATCAAAACGACCCTTCCCACCTGCCGGACAGGCGGCACAGCATACTTCGTATCTTGGAACTGTATCCCCAGTAAGCACTCCGTTGTGTGTTCAATGCGTTGCCTAGACTGTATGGGCCGCGCACTATATTTACATTGTGGGTGTAGAAAGCGTTGGTGAAAAGTGATTTTCACATACGCAGAGTCGTGTTTGCTTGACCTTTTCAGATGTAAACCTGCAGTCGACATCTCTTTCTATCGCCTGCAACATATACCAAGTAACAACAAAAGAACAGAATTCCAAACACTACTCGTGTGCATGCCCGAATAGTGCCAATCCCTGCTCGGCTAATGCAGCAGCTGTGAGTCGGAGCTGGATTGTAAGTACGCCGAAAAGTGCAATGGTTAGTCTCGCAGACTACCTTGTTTACAAGACTCCTGAATCCGGAACTGGGTCATTAGCCTTGATGGCTGATCTGAGTTCAGTGTGTGGGGACCCGGAGGCTTCATATGTACTGTGTGAGGGTAAGCTGCCCACGTTACCTTCAGCTATATTTCAGCTTTCTCATCTTAAGCGTAATACTATGTTTTTTAAACGCGTGATTGTTGCATGCACAGAAGCACAGCACTGGTAATTTCCGGGCTTTCAACCCAAATGTGAAGGATGCTGGTTTCTGTGTTTTTGACCGATGAAGTGTCTGCATAATTACGCTATATGGAGCAGCTCATGAGTAAAAGGCCGCGCATTAATGCCATAGCATCTGCTGGTTCTCTCTGCTGTTAACAGATGCTCCCGAAGACAAAGATTTCAACAGCTGGCCCCTGAGATGTAAGACCATTGGTCGCCAGCAGCGGAGTCTGCAGCAAACCGTATGCAAGGTCCAGCACAGTTCTTCCCAGTAGCGTTTAGCGTTGTCTCCTACTGCCTCTTTGTTTCACAGTGCGGGCGCCATACGCGCGGCTTCATGTTAGAGTGCAGCATCCGACATCGCTATGCTGAAGCATTTTCTTTGTTCTGGCTGCGAGCTTTACATTTTCAGGGCCAGCATGCGAAAAGGCATTCTCTACTGTGGAGGGAGCAATAGAAGAGGATGATTTGAAATGCAGAGAAGCATGCAATGAAAAAAGTTCTGGAGAGTGTGCTAGCATTCGCAACATTTGGTTGTGTGTAGCTTCGTCCGTTCAGGGTTGTTACATTCCGAACACCAGCTCAGTTACATGCCACATTGAGAAACCTGGCTCTGCAGACGCCTTTAACGGCACTTGCTCGTGCTCGAGTTCCTCGTTAGGTACTTGCACATACTTGGAGGCGGAGGCAACTGCATATGCATGGAGAGCTACACTAGGACAGTTTTTAACAGGGAACGACGGAGTTATCATTGCGAAAAACAGCCGCGCTTTGTGGCCAGCGGGGAAACCAACCTGGCGCTACGAGGCAGGGTATAAGCATGGAAGGTGCGAGGAAAACACGTGGATCAAAGGGGTCTTCTGCCTCGGTGAGAATCTCGCTTGAGCATCCGCCTGCCTTGCTGGTAGTGTATTTGGCAGGATTAGATGGGCCCCCGGGTCTCTTCAGTACTAAACAGTAAACAAGCGAATGTGTGTGTGAGAATCTTGCAGGCCCAGATGCGGAACTGATATCCAAGAGAGGTGAGAGCTCAACTGACAACATACACGGATATTTTCTGGTGTCTTTTATTTCTTTGGATGAAATGTCTTTTGCGGCTGTCACCCATCGTTCTCTCAGGCTTGAGGGCACCCGACTGCACCACCTCAGTGCCGATGGATGAGAGCAAAGTAAGCGCTTCGCAATGCTCGTATCTTTGTGGGAGCCTTGAGTGGAGATGCCGGTACACCCAGGTGGAAAGCCCAACTTTGTACAAGGACCTCATGGACTGCTTTGACAAGCTAAGGATTGGTACTTTTCTGGAGTTCTGCAGTGTCGAAACGAGTGAGCTGCTGGGACAGCGTTGCTGTGTCAGCGTATTACCTCGCGAGCACTAAAGAACTTCATCGAGTGTTGTGAAGCGTTTCTCTAGGGGAATAGAGGATTCAGTGTGTGCATTGCCGCTGTGTTGCTTTGCGTTTGCTTTCAGCTGCCCAGACACCAACCCTTGGAGGTATGTACTGCTAGAGAATCCTGAACAGCAGCCGCATAGCTTATGTTGCGTTTTCCGCAGCTGCATTGTTCTTATATCTTAGATCCTTAGTTTAGCCTATTCTATTGCAACAATTTGGGTGATGTTCGCCTGTTGCAGCCGCGAACATGGCGGTCTCGTGGGTGGTAGCCAGCGGCACGGAGACGGAGGTTCGTTATGCCCGGCCACTCTACCCCACACCGGTTGTCTTCATAGGGGCGCCTACACACATCCCAGGTATACCAAGACTGGCCATCTCCCAGGTTACGCCTGAAAGCTTCTATGTACAGGCGTTCGGAGCTGTGTGTGGCGGTAAGCCAACGACTGTGCACTCACTACCCACGCATTGTTAACTTACACACAAGTTTCGATCTGCTAACGATTTTCTCGCTATGCCTGAAACACATATTTTTGGATGGTTGAGCTGTCAAATGCGTGTTTTCTTTTTTCTCACAGTTCGGCCTACGATCGCCTCCACTGATCTCAAGCTTGTGGCCAGCTACTTAGCCATACCTCCAGGGCATTACATAACAAAGCATAGTTTCATTCAATTTGTTGTTGGAACCACCGAGATAACGGCTACCGGAGAATTCTCGCTGCGCTTCCCATTCAAAATGGCTGATCCTTCACAGGTATGCAGGCGCTGTCGACCTCTATGGCCAGTGAGATTCAGCGGCGGGGGGTTTCGTATTTCTAGAGGACCCAAAGAACCGGACCCAAAGAACCTTCTAAAGAGTTGGGGGGAGGCGTTGCAAGGCGCCCAGAAGCTTGATACTTGAGACACTCTGTTGCCGTTGACGCAACCGCAGTGCTCTTACGTGAGTGTATCCTCAGGCACTTGTCCTTTTAGAAGCCCAATCTGCTGTAGGAAATTCTCCACAGGCGATTGTAGCATCAGTTATGTTTCGCGTACTCGAGAGAACGGATAGAGGACTTAAAGTTCGCGTTTCGTCTATTATGCAATTCACGTCGATGACCGTTGGGTACTTTATTGCCGATGCATCCAGCAGCAGCATTTCAGGCAGCCAGCTTTTTGCGACTATGGGAGGACGGATATTCTCTGTGGGTTAAAGACACAGAAGGCGAACCTTACTAGCAGCGTGCATGCGTCCAAGTGTATCTTTCTAGCAGTCCATGTATACGCTTGTGTGGCCTCTTACTGACATCATACCATGTGCTGCTTCACAGTGGTGGCTGGAGAACCACATTTAAATTTCTCTCATATGGCGGGACTGCGGAAAGGCACTTCTCAGTTGGAGGGCTTTGGCGTGTGTGTATGTTCTGTGCAGATGTTTGACTCAGCGGATGTAGATATGGATGACATAAAATATCCAGTGAATTTTCCTTCGTTTTTTCCACCCCACTTTTTCCCACAAATTGTTGCAGAGGGGGGCAGAGACCAAATGCTTTCTGTACAGTGGAAGCAGAATAGAGAGACCGGCGGTTGGATCCCTTCAGTTTGGAACTCTGCATGCTCTCTGACGGACGATATGTTGTCTAAGGTCCCTGTCTCGAGTTTGCATCTTACTGGCATGTATATCTCTGCTGGTAAGAAACAACAGAGCAATTTGGCCCTTGAAAGCATATGCTGTGCATGCGGCAAACAAACAGTGGAATGTTCTGTGGGCTTTCAGCCCGCGCACTGTGACCAGACAGCCGACTGACTCTCCACTTGAAATCTTACTTCTGAAGCAGAGGGATGCAGGGGTGTTGGAGTTGTGATGGAGTGTCTGAGCAGCTATGATTTACGTGTGTTGTGCTGCTGCAGTTGGCTTCACGAGTGGAACATTATGTAAGCTTTGCCGACACGCTTACCCGGTTGCTCATCAAATCCAAATCAGAAGCAGGATCTGTGTTTCCCAAAGCACATGTACATCATCTGGGTCGGTTTGCGTGGGTGTATTGTTGTGCATCATGCTCAGTCTCGACAAGTCTCTGCAGTGTGAAGGCCCTCCAGGTGATTAGAGGGTCGACTACCATGCATCAAGGGTAAAGGGTTAGTTGTTTCCGCAAGAAACTTGCATTTGAATTGAAGTGTTGAGTGTGTTCTTCGTGATGAATTTCGAAATGTTTGTATCCAGGGCAGCTCATTGACGACTGAGGAGTGTATGGAACTGTGCACTGGAGTATACCTCCTGTATTGTTCAACGGCAGCGCATCCTGCGTTTTGCCTTGAATGGCGTCTGCCTAAGAACTTTGCCAAAGAGTGCAGTTCTCCGAGTGAGCAGGGGAAATTATGCTGTATATGCAGCAGTCTGAGTCTCGACTGTACTACAGATTCCCATTCACACGCGCAGCAGATGATGCAGGGTGAAACACTTCAGAGCTGTATCCCAGTCAGAGCTCTGGCGGCACCCGGATGTCAGTGCATCAGGGCTACCTCCATTATGAAACTAAATTTCAGTGTAATTACTTGTATGCGGTTTTATGCTGTCTCAGCTGAAAACGTGGTATCTGAGGATAACACCGAGGATACAGAAACCGAAGAAGGTGAAGGTAAGCAGTAGTCTCGTGCTTACTGTAGGGACCCAAGCGACCCAGCAACTAATATGACGGACTTGAAACAGGTTACAGCCGCTCTCCACCCTGATATTTATATTTTGCTGATTATATAATTGAAGAACATCGGTGATGCGGGGTTTGCAGATGCAGAAGAAGAAGAGAACTTGCCGCCCGTCAAGTGTCGCGTTTTCGACATGCGCTACTACCCATCCGATATGACCTGGGATTCTATTGCTTTCTCTTGCGGGTGCCCTGGTTTTGCTGTCCCATGTACAAAATATGATGTAACCCAGGATGTTTCGTGGTACGAGCATTTGCATGCTGAAGGAGGGATTTGTCAACGCGCGAAGGAACCTGTAAGGCCGGTTACAAAGATGTATTATCAGCTAAACGTGGATGCATGCGCCGCCAGCAAGTTGCCCGCTCTGGGCTTGACCTGGACTCGAAGGATATATCCATCTTATCCAGACCTTCCGGGAGCCGGTTCGGGGCCTCTCTCATACAGTGGCACGTACCTCTGCCAGCACACCACTCCATACGTTCTCTGTCCAGGTGCGAATCTCAATATGAAACATGTTGAAAGGTGCTGTTGCAAAGAGCGCAGCGATGATGTGTTGCTCTTTCAGCACCTCCCACTTGCAGNCATGTTGAAAGGTGCTGTTGCAAAGAGCGCAGCGATGATGTGTTGCTCTTTCAGCACCTCCCACTTGCAGTTTCAAGATTTTGAACATGTACACCATTATATTTTATAAACACTTCATTTGATGTTTTTCTGGCTGCAGCGGACGCCGCCGACCGGCCAGGCGATGGGGGAGCAGCGTCGCAAGTCATTAGACACATACCGGAATCTTGCTTTCCCGGGGAATGGGGAGAATGGTCTATTTGCGATGCAACATGCAGGGGGACCTATAACTACCCTCAGCGGCACAGAAAGCGGGTCCCCATAGCTGCTGAAGCTGTTGATAGTGACCCTGATTGCATTTTAGAGGAAAACGAGCCATGCGGAAATTCCGTGCCACCGTGCGTCGGCTACTGCTGGACAGCTGAGTGGACGGAGTGGAGTGGTTGCATAGCGGTGTTATCTGGAGAGGATATTTTGTTCGCGCGGAGGAGATATAAGCCAATTTATTCCGGATCTGAATACTGTGATGAGGACGCCATTCAAGAGTTTCAAACATGCTTAAGAGGTCAAGGAAGTATGTGCAGAGCCTGCATCGTTTTTTTTGTGCTGGCCCAGCTATCGAATACAACAATAGAGTTGCATCCCGCTCTCGTTTGACAGCCCGAGTCGACTACGTACTTTTTCAGATACAGCTCCACACCTTTTTCATTTTGTTTCACAGATATGGATGGGGAAACATCAAGTGAGGAAGAGGACTCGGAAAGCGGTGGATTCGCTGAAATGGCGGCGTCTGCATCTGGCACTGCAGAAACGTCAGAGTGGTCCGGATGTGATGCTCCGTGAGTTTGTACATCGCTTGCATTCATTTGGGTGTATTGTCTCACTAGATGTTTATCAGTACTGTAGGGATTTTAAGGATGCAAGTAATATGCAGAAAACGTCTAGAAGGAGGGGGCGGAATGTTTCTTCTTTTCGGTCTCTCTTTCATGTTTCTTTGACTCAGGTGCTTACCACCAGAGGGCAATTCGGTCCATAGACGAAGGGTGCAAAAGAACAGCAGTACTGGAAAAGTTTCAGGTTCGAGTTTCGTTTTTCCCGTGCAGTATATCCGTCCCGTATATCTATGCGTGCATCTCATGCAGCTGCTCTTAGGAGACTGTTTGTATGCGTGTTTGTATGTGCATGTGCGTATGTATGTGTATGCACGCATGTATGTGTATTCCTGTATCTGTAAGTGTGTGTGTGATTATGTGTGTGTGCGTGTCTATGTTTGCGTACGTGCGTATCAGCCCTCACTGGCTCTGACGCCTCAAAGGTGTGCACAGAAGCAGATGGTCTGGAGGAGTGCAAAGACATGTTTATTGGCTTTGGTAAGACGATCGATATATCAGGATTTGCTAACTGTGAAGTGCAGGGGCAATGCCGGCGGGTCAGCAGAATGTTTCATCTGTACTGTATTTGACTGCTTTTCAGACTGCTCCGACGTTGTGCCGACCTACCGCGACGCAGCTTCATTACAGAATTGCGTTGATAAGTGTAGAAACGCAGAGGCGAAATGCAAGACCCAGTCTGCACAAGATGTTCTGAAGACGCCCTTCAAGCGCTGTCTCGTGAGCGCACTCTCAGATTCTGGTTTCTTCCTCACCTGCAGGTTCGCAGAGAAGCAGAGTATATGTAAGCCATATTTCATCAAAGCAGTGACACAATATTTCTAGCCCATAGATATTCAAATAAATAATACTTGCACAGTGTATCCCTTGTGCCTGCATGCGTGAAGCACGCACTGCTGAGATACTTCTTAGGGAACCCTCCCCTTTTGCAAGTCCAGCAGCTGGGTGTGCACCACATTTCTCCTTGGTGTTTTGATTTATTTTTTTTTTTTCAGCTCAACCGGTAACCTGTAGAATAACATTCACAAAGATTGTCGACCCAGAAGCGAGACTGCGTTTCATCACCGGCGGCTNGTAACCTGTAGAATAACATTCACAAAGATTGTCGACCCAGAAGCGAGACTGCGTTTCATCACCGGCGGCTCTGCAGAGGAAACCTCTGCAGACTCTGCAGAAGAAGGAGAGTCAGCTGGTTCTCCTAGTTGCGCATGCTTGGATCACGGGATGGAGCCATGCACAGCAGAAGATATAATGGAAGACTGGAAAGGCATAAGAGATCACTTTCTAGCGTCTAACGGATTATGTTCTTTAGAAGATGCAGTAAAGCCTATCTGGTCATCTACTACGGATACGAGCAGCAGAATTCCTGATTCAAGTGTATACGTTGCATATGCGGGATTGGGGCGCTTTCATTGCCCACTACCGGGATACAGCGGAACCCATGCAGCTGAAAAAATCTTCACTTTCACTAAATTTGAAAGTGCTGAGGCTTTAAACGATTTCTGTCAAAACGGACTGGCATACTGGAAGGATCTAGATAATCCTTTAGTATGTAAGTGAACGGTCGGTCGGGTGTGGCTTAGCTTTCTCGAGTTGTAGGGTTTCTATTAAGGTGTTGGCGTTGAGTAGTAATTTTTTTTTAATTTTTTTTTGTTGCTACGGATAGCGTCTTTTTCTTCTGTGTCCATGATGATATCTTTTGTTGGTGCTGGAGTTAAATGCAGTGCATCACCATATTGTTATTATTTCTGCGAAATAAACAGATGCAAGAATCCCGGATTGCTCAAGGGTTATTGCGAAA